TCTGATCTCATTCACATCGCCACTCCGTTCCTCTACTGCTCCTGAACTCTCGGCTCCCTCCGCTCGCCTCGTCGCCTTCCCCCCGATCTACGCACCACTCACTCTCTCGCACTTTTTAAATTACAACTTAAAACACACCTCTTCAAACAGGCTTTTACCACATAGTTTTAATACATTGTTTTCAATTTACGCATCCTAGTGTTTTTACATATTTCTGTACTGTGTTTATCTTGTTTTATTGTTTTCCCCCATTGTTGTAAAGTGTCCTTGGGTGTCTTGAAAGGCGCTGTCAAATAAAATGTATTTAACATTTTTACTCTGACAACAGGCGCGGGGTGGATAAAAACGTGTTGCGGCTTTTACGTGACAGGACCGAGGGCAACACCATGGTCAAGGTGTGGAGACAGGTCCAAGAGAACCACGTGGATGAGCATCTTTACCGTAAAGACGTGTACACCACACTCTTGATGACGTTAGTGAAGCCTGGTGGGATAGCTTCTGCTTTCCGTCGCAAGTTTGAGCCGCCACCCCCTCCCAGAGAGCTGCCCTCGGCACGCCTCCTTCGCCACGCCTTTCTCCTGGCAGAGGCCCAGAATGTGCAGGACTACAGGGCTCAGATCCTGTCAACATTTGGAACCGTGTTGAAAATGGACTCGACCAAGAAGGTAAGTTATTTAAACAATAAAAAACATCTTTTGATGATTTAGAAGTGAAACAAACAAGCTCGATGGCCTCGATAATTCACAAATATCCCACCTGCTTACTACAAATGTGCCTTCGGAGACATCCTGCTATATGCAAATCTTGGATTTTCTGTCACTGTTTTAACGAGTTTTATTTCTGACTTGTTTGGATTCCATTATAATGTCCAAAGTTTATTTCATTTAACCTGATTATGTTTATTTTTTAGGTGGTGAAGAAGCTGTCAGGTGAAGGGAAAGGCTCTGCAGAGTGGTTCACCAGCATTGGCAATGAGTTCTCGCAGATTCTTACCTTTGTGCTCACCTGTGAGGAGTCAAAGGAAGCGCTGGAACCAATGTGCAGCGGCCTGATTAGGAGGTTTCAGCTGGCCAATCAACCCGTCCCCAAAATCATGTACGTTGACCGCGGCTGTTGCAGGGAACACGGTCCGACGGCAGTCGAGACCTTGTTCTGGCCCTGGGTGGACGGTGGGATGGTCGTTCGTCTGGACATCTTTCACTGGATCCACCGCTTTGATGCAGCTCTACGCACAGAGTCGCATTCAAAGTATGCAGTGTTCAAGTCAGCACTGGCTGGTGCAGTGCTGGCCTACAACCGTGCAGATCTGGACCTCCTCATCAGGGCAGTCAGAGCCAAAGACAGTGCATCAATGAGCTCACTGACGGATAAGGACGTTCTGCGCATTTTCATTTCCAAAGAACAAATGAAGCATCACGTGCGCAGGGTCAGTCTGGGGGCTCAGGAGACTTTCAGGCTCATCCAGTGTGTTATCGAGGAACTGAAGGGTCCTGCTGGGCTGGATGAAAGTGGAGTCAGCCTCTTCAAGTCACCTGGTATGAAAAACCTCACACGACTGTTATTAAAACGGACACCGTTGCTTTTGAAAATTAACCTTTTATTCGTCTCTGGATTGTTAACAGCTGCGATCGATGAGATGTGGGCAGCACAGCAGCGGCACTTGGAGTGCATCCAGGATCCGCCGGGTGTCAACATGTACAGGGTGGCCCGAACGACAACCATTAATGGCGTGGATCTGCCCTACTATAAAGGCCTGCGCGGAAGCAACAGCCTGGAAGGGTTCCACAAAGTCCTGCCGTTCATGATTCCAGGTATCAGCCCGTGCTTGGCGGTCCATTTATGAAGTAGCAAATACATTATACTGTTCCAGACATCTAATGACTTTCTTTTAATTATTCAGGTCCACACTGTGCAGCAAGGCCCTATCAGGTTTACCTGATCAGCGGCATTGCTCGCTGGAACTCAGACCGCCGATCTGACGCCGTGTTTGGAGGGAGAGGGCGGCGGCACAGGACCTACTCCGCACCGCTCATCAACCGCCTCAACACCCGCTGTCAGGAGTTCTTCAATGAGCCCGAGGACCAGAACTTTCTGCATCCAGCCAACGTCCGCTCTGATGAGCTTCTCGGTCTGGAGTACCTGTTTAGGCAGGGCACCTTTTCCCTTCAGGACATTGATCAGGATGGTCCAGAACCTGATGAAGAGGTGCTTCAGCCTGGACAGCCAGAACAGGAAGAGACCGACGAGGCTTATCACAGCGATGCAGATGATGGAGCCCTGGATGCTGACCTGCCCCACATCGCTTTCACCAACAATGAGACGGCGACTGTGCACCACCCAGCTTTTGTAAGCACTTCATTCATTTGATTTTGGTCACTATTGGATATTTAGTGGTTTATTTTAATGAAAAATGTGTGTTTTTTCCACAGGACGACGTCTGCAGTGCAAACCCCCTCCCTGGCTTCCAGCAGCTGGAAAGGTTCTGCTCTGTTCTTGTGGACGTTGGGCTGACGGAGAACAAGCTCTCTGTCACCACTAAGGAAAGGGATGACATCCTCAAAGCCTGGAATGCTGTGGAGGAGCACGACAAGCAGCCACAGCAGTTCACTCAGCTGTACAGGAGTCACTGGGGAAACACTTTGTACTGCAGGACAAAGAGGGACGACCTGGTTGAAGCTGCTGTGGTGCAGAAACTAAAGATGGCGAAACGCTACACACCAGCACACAAGATCAGCGCTCAGCACAACAGACTGATGTACACTCTGGTGAAGATGCTGTGGCTGCGTTTGCCCCACGGGTCAAAGAAAAGCCCAGAGAAGACGGCCATCCTGAAGGCGTACGAGCGGGTGCAGCACCGGATTCTGGTAGAGGACCCTGTTCTGAGCAGAGTGGGCATTCCTCTACCAAAAATCAATTCAAAAACGGTGCGTGAATTCATATCTCATCAAGAGAGACTCGTCAGCTTCCACGCCACCAGACAGCCAGCCACCGTCACCAAGCTGACTTCCATCTCAGCGGCTGACATTCCTCCAGCGCCTCCTCAGCCTGCCGTCCTCCCTCCGCCGAGTTACCCTGTGATGGACTATAAATTCACAGAGAGCACAGCAGGCACCAAGGTTTTAAAGCAGAGGACAGACCTTGCGATGCCAGTCTCTCGGCCTGCTGCTCCTCAGCCACAGCTTCAGCCCCAGGTGCCGCCTCATTTTCCACCTCAGTCTCTGCTACAGCCTAGAAAACAGACTCCTGTGAGCTGTGAAACAGTTGTAGCCTCTTCCACCTCTACACTATCTGAAACCCCTTGGCACACATTCAGGCCCATTTTGCCTAAGGTGGTCTCTGTTCAGTCCAGCTCCAGCCCTGCGTCATTCCAGCCTTCTGCCAGTCCGGTGTTTCCTGAGGCCACTGCTACCTCCTCTCCATCCCCATCATGGTCCAGGTCCACGCTTTACAAGCGTAAACAGGAGCTTTCCTTCTTTGGGGAGGGAAAGAAATCCAGGGTGCAAAACAACCCTGTGTGCACAATCTGTGTACAGGTGACCCAGGGACACAAGAAATACAAAAGGAAGAGCTTCTGTCCTGTAAAAATGATGTCCTCATCAAAGGGTCTCACAGGCATTTTATTTAAAAGTTTTGAGGAGTTTATGTTGGCTGTCGACTCCAAAGGCGATACCGCTGCTGTTTAGTTTCTGTTGTACTTGGTACAGTTGAGCTCTGCAGAGCCGGTTGGAGCTAGCTTGATTTGCACAGACGCAGATGCACCGCAGCTGTCGTTTTATTTAAATGTATTTTTTTTACTGTCAAAGCTTGTGTCTGGTTTGTTTTTGTTTTTTCTTTGCACAAACCAATGCTGTTTGTCAGCTGTAACTTTGTTTAGCATTTTTTACACATTTATTTTGCAATAATTGATGCTGATGTTTGTCAGCTGTACTGTTATTTTTGTATTTTTTAACAACATTAAAGCTTGTGACAATAATTTGGATGGTTATTTACCATTTCCAATTTTTAATAAAATATTTGTTACAGTAAAGCAAACGTCCTGACGTGTCCTGAATTGTCATCTACACATCTTGGACTACTTGAATTTATATGACTTTATGAGTTGGTGAGTTTTTGAGCACAGTGTGAGCATTTAAAATTGAATAAATTCTCTCTAGAAAGTTACAAACTTTTAATTAAAAGCAGAATATTAATCCCACATCTGAAGAAAGTTGTGAATTTGTAAAACACCAAGGACTGTTTTTAAATAAACAACTGATTAACAACAAACAAATCCACATGTAACAATAACATACAGGTAAGTGTAATGGATTTTTTGGGCCACCAGATGGAACCAGACAAAATAAAAACAAAACAAATGCTTTTGTTTCATGATTTTATTCAAGATTTGACTGAAATTAAGCACAAATTATTGCTCAGTATTACACAAGACATCAACTGACTGCAAGTTTTATCACAGGACCCCAGAAATACATGAATGTAGAACCAATGGGGGAAAATATGCGAATGGTGGACCGCCATCTTTGAGAGCACGCCCATAACATACAAAGACACAGTAGATGGTGGTTGGCATTTTATCAACTAACTTGCAGCTACAAGCAGCTGCTCATCACTTACATTCTCCTGTTAATCTAGAGCACACAACAACCCTAAAATCAAACATTTTCTCCTTTGAGTGCCCCCGGTGACAAAATTACCCATCATGCATCTCCACAGAGTCACTTTGACATGCTTGAACAATCAACCAATCGCCATTTAGGGGAATTGCACTACTGACCGCCTCACCCCCGTTCGCAGGGGTCAGCACAACACTGAGTGCAATGGCTGAGCCTCACCCTGGGTGAACCACCTTCTTGATCATGGTATCTCCCCTGCCAGGTAAGTATGAGTTGCTCAGCTCACGCATGGGGACCTCTTGCCCTCACATGCTGCTCTGACTCACGGTATGAATGAAAACGCACAATGAAAGGAGCAGCTGTACACACGCAGCTTCACACATTTATGGGAGCAGATACACAAAAGCTCACCCAGATTGTCAACCTTTAACATTTTATTCTAAAATCTCGTCTCATCGTTCCCATGATGCAATGCGGTATTTGTGCGCAAAAGGCTAACAGAAACAGATCACATTTTAGCCATATATATTCTACCAACAGTGACCAACAACCACTCAGTGTTCAGAAGAAACAAGGCTGAGTCTCACAGCAACATTAACTCTGCGACTCGCATCACAAATTTAGAGAAAATAATAAAAAACCGACCTCAGATCTGCTTTTCTGCTAACAATGGAGCTACTTCCTGCTTCTCTGCAGGCTCCGCTGCTGCCACCTGCTGGTGAGTAGTCGCAACAGTCCTGGAAGCTTCTTAAAGGAATTTAAATCTGCAAGAAAGTGAAACAGAGAAGACTTAAAAATCATTGCTGCTCATTTTAAATATCTAGTGAGAGGCAAATACGAAAATATCTCCATAAAAGTCAAACAAAAAGATCATCTTTAACTTTTCTACAGACTGTTGAAACAACTCCAGATGTTAAAAACAACAACAATGGTTACTGTGCTGCTGTACAACTACTGAAGATGCAAGAATGTGTTGTGAGCACTGATGAAATTATTTGATAATTAAAAGTGAAAAGAAAATATAATGAACTGATAAAAGATCGTTCACTAGTTGACTTTACACCAACATTTTTAAAACGGTGTACTCGATTTTACAAAAGATTGAACCCTTTTGTGTACTGCTCCCTATTTGATTGACCAAGGAAATCCCATCTTTAGTTGGAAACTTTTTCAGAAATGCTTTTGGCTTCAATTCAAACTGGAGTATTTCAGAATCTGCTGATCTTCTGGGATTGTCAAGCACAACCATCTCTAAGGTTTACAGAGAATGGTCCAAAAAAGGGAAAACATCCAGCGAGTGATAATGCCTTGTTGATGCCAGATGTCAGAGGAGACTGGTTCAACACTAACTCGAATAACTACCAAGTACCAACCACCAGAAGAGCATCTCTGAGTGCACAACACGTCGAACCTTGAAGCAGATGGGCTACAGCAGCAGAAGACCACACCGTGTGCCACCCCTGTCACCTAAGAACAACAAACTGAGGCTACAATTCACACAAGCTCACCACATTTGGACATTTGATTGGAAAAACATTGCCTGGTCTGAGGAGTCTCGATTTCTGCTGCAACAGTCGGTTGGTAGGGTCAGGATTTGGTGTCAACAACATGAAAGCATGGATCCATCTTGCCTTGTATCAATGGTTCAGGCTGGTAGCAGCGGTGTAATGGTGTGGGGGACATTTTCTTGCCTCACTTTGGGCCCCCTAGTTGATCATTGCAATGCCACAGCCTACTCAAGTATTGTTGCCGACCATGTCTAACCCTTTAAGACCACAGTGTCTTCTGATGGCTACTTCCAGCAGGGTAATGCACCATGTCCGATGGCCATGTCATAACGCTCAAATCGTCTCAGGACTGGTTTCTTGAACATGACAATGAGTTCACTGAACTCAAATGACCTCCACAGTCACCAGACTTCAATCCAACAGAGCACCTTTGGGATGTGGCGGAATGGCAGATTTGCATGTCAAATCTGCAGCAAATGCGTGATGCTATCATGTCAATATGGACCAAAATCTCTTGAGGAATATTTCCTGTACCTTGTTGACTTTATGCCATTAGGGATTAGGGCAGTTCTGAAGGCAAATGGGGGTTTAAGGTACTATAGGTGTACCCAATAAAGTGGCCAGTGAGTGAGTGAGTATAAGAATCATAAAGAGTCTATTTAAATTTTGTTGTTTTATTTCATCTTATGATGGCCTGAAAGGCCCCTCTCCAAAATAAAATATATGTGGAATTTTTTTTAAACCAAACTGCAGATACAATTTTATTTTAATTTCATTTGAGACAAGAATAACAGAATCCGCACACTTCAATCTGCGATTATGATGTTTTTATTCTTCAAGCTTTCGGTCCCAAGATTGTGTCACAATTCCTGATGAAGGTCTTGGGAACGAAATCTTTGAGTACAAAGTGGCCCTTCAAAAAACGCTTTTTTACTGCTTTACACTACAGTGTATTATTGTACTATGCAACATTAGCTGTATGATGTACGCAACTCCCACCGACCAGCTCCTGATGCTATAAAGCCATAAATAAAAATAAACATTTAGTTTTACAAAAACGTCCTTAACTTTGGGGCCGGCCAAGGTCTGTAACCCTATTTAAACTTACTTATTTTCGTTAAGTCGTTCCGAAGTTAAAAAGGAACGTAACATATTTTAGAGTCTAAAATAGTTCCGACTCAGTCTGACGTTTGTTGGAGGCGGAGGAACACCAAAATAATTACTGAATTGCTTCTTGGACATCTGTCTTTCTTCCCCCACAAAATCTTAGGTGCGCAAATGCGTGCTGCAGCTTTGCTTTTTAGGTGCGCATTGTTTATTTTGACAGCGCCTGCGCACCTGCGGACCACTTGTGTCCCCTACCTGCGCAAGGCCTCGCCTGCTCACGCGAGGCGCCACGAGCAAACTTGCGTTGGTTTTCTCTCTTCGTTAAAATAATCTTGAAAAGCGACGACTGAAAAAGAAAACGGCAACACTACAGTAAGCGTACCAACATGAAAAGCCAAGTATAATGTTGACATAAACTTACTAATGCCGCGGTCGTCTAACGGAGTCTGGTGCGTCGATGTGTGTCGACATCGAAATGAGCGTGGCTGTCTTATGCGCATGCGTGAACTTAATTTGTTTTTCTCCCAAACGGATGACGAGATTTCATTTCAAGATGGTGAAAAACCATCAGTGTAATAAAATTTGATAAAATAAACGTCACACTACTCATTCGAGTCACTTTCATGACTAAACTTACTCATAGCGGCCATGCCAACTGTCGTAGCGTGAGACACACGTGTACTTTTATTTATTTATTTATTTGTTTGTTTGTTTGTTTTATTTGAGTAATAGAAATTTACAATGCCTCAGAGAGGATAGTAGCATCATGAACATGTGTACAAAGGCGATCAACAACAATACATATATGTTGATCGACTTGTTTCTTTCTCGCACTCCTTCCTACGTTCTATTGTTCGTGTGTTGAGTTGGCATCCGGTTTCTCCTGCGTGTGTTTTATTTCAGAGTGTGCGTGGGATTTCGTAAACGACACCACATTTAAGTCCAGCTTCAACAACAGAAAGAAAAAACAACCAAAGCAAAGAACCAGAAACCCAGAAAGACAAGAACCAAAACCAGTGATAACCCTACCATGCATCAGAGGCATAACAGAAAAAAATAAGAGCAACAATGAAAAAACACAACATAAACAAACCAACAAAACCATACACAACAGTTAGAAACAGACTAGTGCACCCAAAAGACAAGATACCAGCTGGACTTAAATGTGGAGTCATTTACGAAATCCCATGCAAACTCTGCAATAAAACATATGTAGGAGAAACCGGACGCCAACTCAACACACGAACAATAGAACGTAGGAAGGAGTGTGAGAAACAAACAAGTCGAAAACACACAAGAGTAGCAAAAGAAGAAGCAGAAAGCACAATAAAGAAGTCAGCCATAACAGATCACTGCACAAGAGAAAACTATATAATGGACTGGGACAGCACACGGATCGTAAACACCGAACAACAAAAATACAAAAGATGGATTAAAGAAGCTGTCGAGATAAGGAGACGTGGATGTGGGACCATGAACAGAGACGATGGGGTTTACATGTTGGATCGCGCATGGGACTGCACCGTCGGAGAGGGGAGAGCGGGCAGCAGAGGGAACTAGAAATGGAATTAGAAACAAAACACAGCAAGAGCACACCAAAGATCCATGCTTTAAGTGTTCACCTTTTTTAATCTGCTCAAATCTTTCAGTTTTGTTTTTACTTTATGCACACAGTGTTCATTGATGGGTGGAAAAATATTACTATTTTACCGAAAAACTGCAACGTTAAAATGTGAACAAAAGTGACGTGATCTTAGTTGCTAAAGCCACTTTAAATGGCAATAAAAATTCCCTTAAGATTTTAATCTTCAACATTTGCTGAAACAATTACAATTTCTGTTTGTTTTATATCATAGAATAGAATAGAATAGAATAGAATAGAATGCCTTTACTGTCACTATACAGGTGTAAAGTGAGGTACAGAGCATCTCCTACTCAGTGTAAAACAAACATACTTGGGGGGGGGGGGTACAGTTCTGCAGCGCTATGTTCATATGGACAGTAATGTTATGTATATACAATTACTGCACGTGGAATTTGGTATCAATAGATAGTGGTGGTCAACGGAGGAAGTGGGAAGTGGGGGGCTGTGTTATCGGTGCATGTGTGAGTTCAGGGTGGTTATTGCTTTGGGGAAGAAACTGTTTTTGAGTCTGTGGGTTTTTGTATTAATGCACCTGTAGCGCTTCCCTGAGGAAAGCAGTCTGAACATGTCGAAGCTAGGGTGGGAGCTGTCCTTGATGATGTTTGCTGCCCTAATGAGGCAGCGGGAGGAATAAATGTCCATCATGGAGGGGAGAGGACAGCCGATGATCTTAAATCATCATAAATGTATATAAAGATAATATTGACTATTGTGTAATTATTCATAGATCCATTTTTTATCTTAGAATTTTTTTTTCAAATATTAAATGTACTAAAATATGCATGCTTTTGTCTTCAGTGTGACTTGTGTCTGATGGAGGAATGTTTGTATTAAAATGCTTTCATAGATTCATCCAAAACATCAAAACTGAAAGTGATTGAAAACTATAGTTTTAGAATTGTAATCAGAGAGAGAATAGCAAAATATTAACAGTATCAAGCTAAGCACGTTAAAACGCATTCCCCAAAGCAATCTAAACATTACTGGTCTCAATTTTTTGGGCACTAGTGGCAGTTTTTCACACTGCAAGGAAGCAGGAAACCTCGGGAGAGAGGAGGCAGAAATGCGGCTAAAGATATGGGGCTGGAATTCAAACCCTGGATCAACTTTGTCCACCAGCAGACGGATAAACCAGCAAAGACCAGCAAGGAAGCTGGTAGCAAGGAAGCCATGCTGGTCTTTGCTGATTTATCCGTTGAGGGGTTGTTTGGTAAAAAACGGAGATAAAACAGTCTTGTTCACAGAACCTGCAAAGAGGTGCGTCTCATTCCGCCATCTTCTGCGGAAAAGCAACACACACACACACACACACACACATATATATATACATATATGTATATACATATATATATAAACATATATATATATATACATACATATATATATATATATATATATATATATACGTATATATATATATGTATATACATATATATATATACATATATATATATTTATCGTACACCTGCATCGTGCATGGATCAGTTTATGAGAGAAATTTCTGTAATACTGGAAAAACACAAAGAAAAGACAACTTTATTTTGTGGTGATTTTAATATTGATTTATTGAAGGCAAATGATCACAATAAGACATCTGAATTTACTGATACAATGTTTAGTTTTGGGTTCTATCTGTTGATTCTAACGCCCAGCAGAATAAAGACGGGTAGTGCCACTTTGATTGACAACATTTTCTTTAATAAGATAGATGGTAAGATACACAGTGGACTGTTAGTCACGGATGTAAGTGATCACTTGCCTGTCTTTTCAGTGCTTGAAATGAATAATCAATTTAATATTCGAGAGGAAAAGATTGATTACATTGGTAGAATAAAAACACCAGAACACATTGCAGCTTTTAAAAGAGAATTAGAAAATTATGACTGGAAAAAGGTTTATGTGGAAGACACTAATGATGCATATAATGCATTTCTAGACATATTTTTGTCAATCTATGACAGCCATTGTCCACTGAAAAAGTTTTCTGAAAATCTCAAAAAGAAAAAACCATGGATGACAAAAGGTCTGGAAAGAGCATGCAAAAGGAAAAATAAGTTATATAAGATTTTTTTGACAAATAGAACTAAGGAAAATGAAGACAAATATAAGAAATATAGAAACAGATTAACAACTATTTTGCGATATGAAAAGAAAAGTTATTATGAAAAGCTGCTTCAAAAATCTAAAAATAATATAAAGGCTACCTGGAGTGTACTTAATAAGATAATAAAAAATCAGAATAATATATGTTTTCCAACATGTATTGTAAAAGAAGGTAATGTAGCGATTAAGAATATTGAGAGTATAGTCAACGAATTTAATGATTACTTTGTTAATGTAGGTCCCAATTTGGCAAAAGAGATTTCTGTACCAGGAAGACATGATGACAAATTTTTAAATTTTACTTCTTATAAATGCAACTCAATGTTTCTTGGAGGAGTCTGTGAGAGTGATATTATAGATGTGGTGAGTAAATTTAAGAGTAAAAAGTCCATGGATTGTGACGGCCTTGATATGTCATTAGTTAAAGAAGTTCTTCATAGTATCCTTCAACCGTTAACTTATATTTGTAACAAATCATTTCAAACAGGAATTTTTCCAGATAAAATGAAAATTGCCAAAGTGATCCCAATATATAAAAATGGAGATAAACAGGTTGTGTCAAATTATAGACCAGTATCTTTGCTGCCTACATTTTCAAAGATTCTTGAAAAACTATTTGAAAACAGACTAAATTCTTTTCTTGAAAAATATGATTTATTGAATGACCATCAGTTTGGGTTCAGAAGAAATCGATCAACATCTCTAGCAGTAATGGAATTTATTGAAAATATTGCAACAATTGTGGATAAAAAACAGATTGGAATAGGTTTGTTCATTGATTTACGCAAAGCCTTCGATACGATAGATCATTCTTTACTGTTACAGAAATGTGAAAGATTTGGTTTAAGAGGTGTTGTACAACTTTGGTTAAATAGTTACTTGGAAAGAAGGTTCCAATATGTGAGTATTAATAATATGAAATCTAAACTTAGACAAGTAACTTGTGGAGTTCCGCAAGGATCGGTGTTGGGACCAAAGCTATTTTTACTTTATATAAATGATATTTGTACAGCTAGTGATATTTTAAAATATGTGATGTTTGCTGATGATACAAACTTATTTTGTTCTGGAGATAACATAAAGGAATTACTGAAAACAGTGGAAATAGAATTGATGAAGTTAAATAGATGGTTTGTATTTAATAAACTATCACTGAATGAAAGTAAAACAAAATTTATGTTGTTTGGAGTTATTAAGAATAATATTGAAGTAAAATTAAATCTAAATAATGTTGAAATTGAACGAGTAAATGAGACTAAATTTTTAGGAGTAATAATTGATGATAAACTTTGTTGGAAGTCTCACATAGATCATGTGAAACAGAAATTATCTAAGTCTATTTCTATTCTTTATAAAACAAGAGATTTATTGCACAAGAGCTGCCTTTATTTATTGTACACTTCCCTTTGCTTGCCTTATATGAGTTATTGTGTGGAAATTTGGGGGAAAACATACAAAACATATCTGGATTCAATTTTTAAATTGCAAAAAAGAGCTATTAGAATAATAAATAAAGCTGGATATAGGGAGTCCACAAACCAATTTTTCGTAGGATCAGCTATGTTAAAATTTAAGGACATTATATATCTTAAAACTTTAGAAATGATGTATAGAGTGGTGAAAAAGAATGTTCCAATTTGTATTTTAAGTATGTTTAAATTCAGAGATGGACCATATGATTTGAGGGGGTCTTATATGTTTGAAATACCTAAAGTGAGAACTAATGCGAAGTATAGATGTGTGTCGGTTTTGGGAGTGAAGTTATGGAATGGACTTAATGATGAACTGAAGATGTGTTATTCTTTGTCGTTTTTCAAGAAAATTTTAAAAAATTGCATCTTCCAAAGTTATAGAAACTTAATTTGATGTCCAACCTTGTGTTGATTTGATTTTTTGATTTATCATTGTTTTTTCTTTAAATGTTATGCACCTTAGCTATCAGCCTTGGTTAAGGATTTGATTATGTCTGTGGGAGTTAAGGATAGGCTAATTATAAGCCACTAGGCTTCAACCTATTCCTTTTTTCGGTTGCTTGATTACTTTTATGTAAAATTGATAAATTGTTGTTGTTGACCGAATAAAAATATCTATCTATCTATCTATCTATCTATCTATCTATCTATCTATCTATCTATCTATATATATATATATATATATATATATATATATATATATATATATGTATGTATGTATGTATGTATGTATGTATGTATGTATGTATGTATATATATGTTTGCATTTATATGTATGTATGTATACATACATATATATGTATGTATATATATGTATGTATATATGTATGTTTATATATTTATATACATATATATATACATACATATATATATGTATATATATATATATATATATATATATATATATATATATATGTATATATATACGTATATATATATATATGTATATGTATATATATATATGTATATATATATATATATATATATATATATATATATATATATATATGTATATATATGTATGTATGTATGTATGTATACATACATATATATATATATATATATATGTATATATATATATATATATGTATGTATATATGTATATATATATATATGTATATATGTATATATATATATATATATATATATATATATATATATATATATATATATATATATATATGTATGTATATATATGTTTGCATTTATATGTATGTATACATACATATATATATGTATGTGTATATGTATGTTTATATATTTATATATATATGTATGTGTATATGTATGTTTATATATTTATATACATATATATACACGCCCTTTAAATGCCGTGCTGCGCGCGCATGAGCCCGGATTGACGTCAGTACGTAAATCAGCGCTCAGCGAATCGGTGTCGTTTGTAGTGAGGCGCTCTGGAGTCCCGGAGGAATCGGCTTCATGCCATGAACTTAAATAACTTCTGCACATTAGTCGGTTGAGGTGAGCGCAGATGTTTTTCTGTTGTTTTGCTTTTGCCGCCTAAATGTTTGCGTGAAGGGTCCTGTGGAGGGAGAGGAGTCGGTGTGTTTAGTGAGCGGACCAGTTAGACGGTAGTTGGGTGGAACGTGCACACACGAACAGCTAGCTACAACCAAGTTAGCATGAATTTGACATCTTTGTCTTTTATGACTGAGGCAGTTAGAAAGGTGCTCTATAGCTCTCATTTCATCTTAGTGGCATTCTGTTCCACCGCTTAATAGCACTGACACTGCTCTAACGCCCGCAGGTAGGAGTTTGCACCTGAAATGTCAACAAGCTAACACTTTACAGACGGTAGTTTGGTCGTGTTTTCGTTTAGCTGTGAGTCACACAGTCAGACTTTGGGGAAGATTTTAACTGGATCTTTATTCTTTGAGGGATCGGTATTTGGGACAAAGTGTCGTTAAAATCGTTTGAGTTTCCCGGATTTAAGCATAAGCTGCAGCTATTTTCCTTCTGCGGTTTGCCAGAGAGCCTATGTTGGAGACTGCGGATTAAATTAGGAAACTGAAGCAGGTTAAATGAAGGGACACGGTCAGATTCATGTTCAGTTGGGCAGTCATAACCCAAATGTCAGGGAGGAAATGCTGCTAAAGCTATTTATAACACGCTGTACAGCCCTGCTGACTGTGGAGCTGCTGCAGCTCACATTCAGTTTTTGGTTTTAGAGCCAAAGATTTGACCTAAAAGCTGCCTTTACTGTTATACATCCAAGTCTCTTCTTAAGCCCTACCAAAGGTTCAGCTGCAAAAACAAGTCTGAAGTTCACACTCGTGCAGATCGAACGGGATATTTCTGCATCACGGGCACCCAAGTCAACAAACGAATCAGTAAATGTCACTAGAAACATCTTTTTCATTTGTTCACTCTGCTTCCTGGACCCAGCTCCTCCCATCTGATACCTGACGTCATCTTCCAGACTGACCTTGGTCTGGAAGTTTTCAACATTATTCATGTAAATGTTTCCTTTTATCTGTCTTCTCACCTTTAAATGCCCTCGACTCCGTTTGACTTCAATAGAAGCAGTTAATCGGCAACCTGTTCCATCTAAGTGACTCACATCAGGAATTCTGTTAGACAAACGGAAGACGCTGGTATCTAAACTTGTACTTATTGCAGTTTTTGGTTGACCTAGCTGATCTCTAACCCTGTATTCTTGCAGAAGCATATCAGTTGATCTCCGCTTGTTTGCTCAGTGTTTGTTTGATGGCTCGTACAGAGAATACTCCGTTCTCTGTGGATTTCCAGTTACAGCTCCCAGATTGTTAAAATGTCCTCCTTACACAGGTGTGTGTACTCGTTGGTGGCGTGGTGTATGAGCGCGGTCAGCCATGCCCGTTACATCTCGGCTCCTCAGGGGTTTGCCCCGAGCCAAGGTCTTTGCCTCCAGTCTGTTACCATGCCAACATCACCAATCCCAGTTTGGTCCCGTCGTTTCCATCGCTCCTGCAGCAGGACAGCCACCAACCCACGTGTGGCCGACGCACCAGTCGAGAAAAACCTACCAGACGTCCTCGGGGCTCCACAGCTACATCCTCACACCCCCACAGGTCAACTCCATCCTGAAGGCCAACGAGTACAGCTTCAAGGTTTGTGGAGCCATGCACCAGAAAGAAAATTCACCAGTTCAATGTTGGCTTTCATCTCCACTGTTTTTCGCTCTGGTTCCAGGTGCCGGAGTTTGATGGGAAAAACGTGTCGTCGGTGATGGGGTTTGAAAGCAATCAGCTTCCAGCCAACGCTCCCATCGAAGATCGACGGAGCGCAGCTACGTGCTTGCAGACACGAGGAATGCTGCTGGGTGTGTTCGATGGACACGCTGGCTGTGCCTGTGCTCAGGTGAACGTGCATAACCACATGTGGCTTAGATCCTTTAGGCATTAATCACACCGCCTTACAGCGCTCTTCACCTCTCCAACACATTTATTCAGACTTTTTAGGTTAGATGAGTATTTTTGGATGTTGATTATTTAAGCTTCAGCCTACTTTGTTGCAGTGAAACTAATGTGCCTCCTCCACCAGGCGCTGAGTGAGAGGTTATTTTACTACATAGCAGTCTCCCTGCTTCCCCACGACACCCTGTGTGAGCTGGAGGCTGCAGTGGAGGGCGGCCGGGCCCTCAGTCCCATCCTGCAGTGGCACAAACACCCCAACGACTACTTCAGCCGGGAGGCCCAGAGACTCTATTTCAACAGCCTGCGAACGTACTGGCAGGAGTTAATCGACCTGACCAGGTAAGCAACACGTAACAGAGACTAGTTCAGCAACAACACACATTTTTACAACATTCTCTATAGAAAAACCTGCTAATTGACTTCATGATCAAAGGTGTCTACATGTGAGTTTTGCCTTTTGCCCGTGGCTGAGGAGCAAAATACCACCCCCTCTATTGTTGGTGTTTGTTGACCTCCTGGCTCCTCTCTCTCCAGCCCAGGCGAGGTTCCGGACACACGCGAGGCCTTAATGAATGCCTTCAAGAGGCTGGACAATGACATTTCTCTGGAAGCTCAGGTGAGATCGGCGTATGGAGCCATGTTGGCTGGAAAAGGATCTAAACTGAGACTTATCATTAACTCATTCGCTGCCAGCGTTTCTCACCGATTTTACTGTTTTTTTTTAAGAGTCACAGAACGTTGCGCGCTAGCATGATGTCGACGCCAAAACAACCAAAACAAAGAAGAGACTCACCTCTTACATCAGGAAGAAGCCGCGTGTTTCGAGCGTTATCCGTTCTTTCATAATCCGTTGTCGAATTGTGATCGGCAGACGCTTTTCCGGTTCGCGCCTCACTTTTTTTTGCAGGAACGGCCCAAAACGATCTAACACATGGATGTGTTGCTTCCTGATCATGTGATCTGTGACGTATGCGGATGAAGATCGGCTTCAGGGCTGAGATGTTTGTTCTCTCAGCGCGGGGGCTCGTTCCGATGCTCAAACAGTAAAAAAAATGCAAATGACGACTTTAGTCGTCAATGGCAGTGAATGAGTTAAAAAGGTCTTTCACTGAGAAACCATTTTTTACGTCACTGAGTGTTTCACGCAGGCTGAACATGAAGATAGTCTCCTACACCTATCTCCTGCATTAGCTTCTGATAGAAAACAGACGGCGGAACTCTGGGATTAGGAAATCCTGACAGATCTACGTCACCCTGTCACTAACATTCATGGACTCACCCATCTGGACTCACGACGGGGAAGGCTGTTGTTGGTTTAGCTTCCAGGAAACAGCAGAGAACGTCTCAGCTAGTAGAAGCTAACCGTTAGCATTAGCTACCCCACCACACAGCTGAACTCCTCCAGGCTTGTGTTATTAGTGGAGATAAAACATCAACGTTGCAGAGCAACCAGAGTCAGTGGTAGAGCCGTGTTGCTGTTAGCCAATCAGAGAAGAGATGTCCACTTATGAGGAAGTAAGACTCCAGATCTTGCCGTCTGAAGCTTCTGTAATGATAGATGTTAATCACATTTAATTAAGGAGCATAAGACATTAAAAATTCATATCTAGTATGAATTCCATCTTGTGGACACTGGGTTATTTAAATCAGAAGATTGGATCTTTTTATTGCAGGGACTTTAAAATTACACTTTGCATTAACTGAGAGACAAGAGAAGAGAGAGAGACTTTCAAACGTTTAAGGAAATTTATTACTAAATAATTTTAAACAATTTAACAAGACTAACTCTCTAATGATGGATGTTCTGTTTGAATGAAGTGTGAGGTGAATGGTGTGTGTGAATGATGTCAGATTCAGAACCTTCGCATCCGGAGAAACAAAGTCTGAGTGGGAGATGATGTTTTGCTCCTAACTGATCAGAGTTTGAGACTCGTAGTCATAAACACATGAGACGCCATTTGTGTCTCATCCACATACCCTCAGTGAGACCTCCGTACAGATCCGGATGCCAGGTCCACGACCCTCCTCTGGTACTGGAGCCGATGGTACAGCGTCGACAGCACGACAAACCAGTCTTTGGATAGTCTCCAGGTAAAAAGCAACAGGTGGTTCACAGCGTCAAAAAGGGACCCTCCTTGGGTCAGCGAGTTAAGCTTTTATTCTGAAAGGTACCATTGCTTGGTTGGTAACAACGACAGATTTTTCCCAACTTGATGCTTCTCAGCTTAAAAGAGGAGTTCGGATGGCCGGTCCAATACTTCGCTTAGGTGAACTCTGTGAGATCTTGAGAGCTGAACTTAAGATGGCGTTGGAACTGTTTTATTAATCTGGATGTTTTTGATTCTGGACGAATCAAAGCTGACAGATTTATAAACACCACAGAGACTCGCCACGCTTCAGACTAGGAAGGTTCTGATTGGATCAGCAACAGCAATGTGTCATGTGATTATTTACCTTAGTGTGTCAGTGTGTCTAGTGGACTAAAATAAGTCATTTACTTATTAAAAACATATTAATCATAATATTGTATTATTGACTAACAGTTGTTTTGATTAGCTTTATTGAAAATAGAGTTCTTTGATTTAATAAAAGAAAAGAGTCTTCATCTTCTGTCTTCATTGCTGGAAAGTAAACAATTTAGAAGCGAATGCATGACCTTGAGGCTGTTTCATGCACTCTGGCGCTGTGTCAAAGGAACTGTGGTTAGAGGATAAATAACCTTGGAGGAATAGCTCCTTCATCACGTTACACTACTTTCTACTCTGGCTGATTTCTCTGTGCCGAAACAGGCGCACCAGAGCTCTTTTTCCCCAGAGTAGGATTTAAAAGGCATTCGTTCCCACTAGAGACCACTGCAGATGTGATAAACATGCAAGTTTAACTCTCTGGGGTCCACGGACGCATTTCCGCGTCTTTTGAACCGGTCTGATTTGGGACGTTGTAGCAGCAAGACTCCGCCTCCCTGAGTTTTGGTTTCAATTCAGCTTTAAAAGGAGATTATAAACTACACCCCAGTTTTTAAATTTCTTTAATAGGTAACGTAAAAGCGAAGTTATACTAAACTACAAAACGACCTATTTTTAGACAATCTGATAACTTGTGTAAACATCAGTTTAGTAATCCGTGAGAGGGAACGTGCTTGTGAACATAAAAACATGAGATCCTGTTGCTGTTGGTGGAAGTCTCACATATTCAGCTGATAAAAAGCATCATTATGTAGCTGAGAGAGAGAGGAAGGCCGCACGAGTAAAGAGATGTGCGCAAAAAGGAGCCGCTTGGCGGGAAAGGAGTGATGCGAACGGAGTAACAACAAACAATTAGACAGATGTTGACGATAAACTTCATATTTTGGAGCGATCTGGACAGATTTATTGTCTCTGCAGTTTAGTAGGCTTTTATTAGGCTTATATAAAGGATGATGAGAAGGATAAACGTCCACCAGGAAGTTCAGACAGTACGGCTGTTTTTTGAACTGGAAGCAGAGGAAGTGGACGGAGACTCGCAGCCGGAGTCTGAGGCAAACAGCGAGGATGTTGATGACGATGTGGCAGATCCATCCTTCCTCCTAGAAGAGTTGGGTCATGATGAGGTAGAGGATGAAGGCAGAGATGCAGCTCCTCGGAGATCCATCAAGAGGAGTGGGCGGCACCCCGCAGCTGTCAGATCTCGGCGTGAGGCAGAGCCACTCCCCACTCCAAAATGCATGTTCATTATTGCCAAATTAATAAAATAAGTATAAATTCAGATAGTCCAGGTTGTCCTGAAAAAAATGATACCCCATAAGGCAATATTTATTGTTTTTATTAGAAAATACAAAAGAAAAACCAAAATGAGTCAAAAACGGTGATTTACACCCTGGACCCCAGAGGGCTTATAATTTTTTTTTTTTTTTGTTATTTGCTATATTTATTCATATTTTTTATAAATGTACAGTCTAGATTACCATTCTAAATTATAAAAAACATTCGTCATAAATGTTTGTTGGTTTCACAGTAAAATCAACAACTTTTTCCAATTCGAATTTTATGTTTTTGAGTGATTTAAGGTCTAATATGCAACCCCTTTATGTCCAAATATAAAAAATAGGTATAAATTCATAAAGTCCAGGTTGTGCTGAAAAGATCGATACCACATAAGGCAGTGCTTATGGCTTTTATTTTGGAAATACAAAGGAAAACTCTAAATGAGTCAGAAACGGCAAATTACACCCTGGACCCCAGAGGGTTAAAGAGCAAGTCACTCCCTACCAGAGTCTTACTCCACCTACACTTCCTGATAGAAAAAGGAGGCGTCACCTTGCTGACCCAAATGGAGTTCTGCAGCAGCGACTGACAGCACCCCCGCCCTGCACATTGAGCTGCTAGCACACACACACCTCGCTCGAACAGAGAAAAAGCAGCATGCCTGTTAGTCTGGAGGGATTCCCCACATCCTTCACCAGAGGAAAGAAGAGGCGAGTGGCTCTGAGCGGTTTTCTTTATCAGCCCGTGAGTTACTGAGGCATCCAGTGCTGAGTCCGCTGGAGGCGTGGCCGTAACGCGGCTGCAGTGCAGCCACGTCACATGGTACAGCTTAGCCAATGGCGATGGCTGATTCAAATTCAAGTGTAGTGCGGTCTTTTAACCTGAAGAGGGTGCTGCAGTGACGCCAAAATAGTGGTTTCACACGTCTACAGCACACTCGTTTACACACTTATCAGCAAAAAAGGTGATTTAGGCGTGACTCGCGTTAAACAGCATCCGCCCTTAGAGCTTCTGCCCCTCCAGTGATGCTGATTTCTCGTGCTTTGTGTTCTTTTTCGTTGCAGGTTGGAGATGCGAGTGCTTTTCTGCATTACTGGGTTCTGAGAGTTGCCTTTTCTGGAGCGACGGCCTGCGTGGCTCACATAGATGGATCAGACCTGTACGCAGCATAAGTGTACCCCTTCACAAGCCCGTTAAAGACCAGGTCTCCTGTAAAAACTCGGTGTCTGTCTGTTCCTGAAGCTTTATAGCTAACGCGGGAGACGCTCGGGCCGTGTTGGGCGTTCAGGAGGAGGACGGTTCCTTCAGCGCTCTCACCCTCTCCAACGACCACAATGCCCAAAACGACGGCGAGGTTTCTCGGATTCGAAGTGAGCACCCTTCATCAGAGAGGAAGACCGTCATTCGTCAGGTAAAGGAAATGAATTTACCCGCTCCGCTCGCTTGTGACTAAATCATTACTGAGCCTTCCTCCTCTCCCCGTTTCCCGGATCAGGACCGGCTGCTCGGCTTGCTCATGCCGTTTCGCGCGTTCGGCGACGTGAAGTTCAAGTGGAGCATCGAGCTGCAGAAGCGAGTTCTGGAGTCCGGACCCGATCAGCTGCATGAAAACGAGCACACAAAGTTCATCCCTCCCAACTACCACACCCCCCCCTATCTGACCGCGGAGCCCGAGATCACACACCACCAGCTGAGACCGCAGGACCGCTTCCTGGTGAGAGAGGCCGCCATGCTTCATCTGTTCACGTCAGGGTGACTCGACCTGTTTACGGTTTTGCTTTTCCTCTCAAAAGCGGTCAAACACGAGTCTGACGGCGCGGATGAAGGATGGAGTTTAAATTCCTAAATGGTTTGTTTTAGCGGCCCTGCTGAGGGATTCGGTGCTTCGTGGCGTGGAGGAGGAGACTCCTGGTTGATGCTGAAATTTGGTCCCCTATTCAGAAAAAATTCCAAGTCAATCTAACTGTTTGTACACAGAAAACGGGACTAGAAAAAAGACCTGAAATGGGACTCGTTTCATCTTTGGTTCAGGGGTGGGCATTCCCGGTCCTCGAGGCTGTTATCCAGCTTGTTTTAGTCGTTTCCCTGCTCTAACACCCCTGGTTCAGACGTTGAATCAGCAGCTCATCAGGCGCAGCAGAAACAGGGTATCTGCGGGTCCTTAAAAAGTCTTAAATTTGCTTTTCCAAATTTAAGGCCTTAAAAATCCTTAAAAATGACAAATAATCCTTAAATACAGTTTCCAGAGGTCTTAAATTACCAAAGACCCAATAAACTAGATTATTTTATTTCTATAAAATTTTCATGAATTTCTAGTTGGTGTTCAGCATTTTTTGTGTACGATGTTGCCGTAAGCGGAACCGTACTCATTCAGTTGGTTGTGAAAGGGGGCTTTTTTTAGATGAGCACATTAGCTGGTTAAGCTAGCGGGAGCTTGCGCCATGGGGAAGTGCAAGTTTAATGGTAACTGGATGGTTAATCCCAAGTTCGCGACGTGGTTAGCACCGGTTCCAGGCAATAGCTGGAAATTATAGCTTAAATTTAATTAAAAAAAATAGCTTAAATTTGGTCAAAGTGGCCTTAAAAAAGGTCTTAAAAAGTCTTAAATTTGGCTCCCTTAAACCTGCAGATACCCTGAGAAACCTGTCAATCACCTGCTGGTTAAAACCAGGAGTGTTGGAGCCGGAACACAACTAAAACATGCTGGATAGTGGCTCTCCAGGACCGGGGTTCAGGTTTTCAGCTCTTTAGGAGTCGCCTCTCTCGCCCTCGTCGCCTTCGTCTGGGTCTCAGCGGCAGAATTCCCAGCCTAGAAATATAATCTGACCAGTGTGCCATGGGTCGACCCGGCCCAAGCACCGTCTGCTGGGTGGTACCCTAACCAAGCTGGTTGTTCTCCGTGTTGGAGGAGGAGCAGCGGCTCTTCTCTGATGCTCTGGGTTCATTATTGAATTAAAATTTAGATTTATTAGAATATTTTCCTAAAAGCTTTTTGGAAAGAAGGTGACGGCTTTTCCAAAACGGATGAGTTTGTTGGCTGTGTTGTGACCGTCGCCCTCGTCTGTCGCCAGGTGATCGGCTCTGACGGCCTCTGGGAGACCCTCCACCGGCAGGAAGTGATTCGTGTCGTTGGGGAGTATCTGACGGGGGTTCACCAGCGCCAGCCGCTCAAAGTGGGCGGCTACAGGGTCACTCTGGGACAGATGCAGGGGCTGCTGGAGGAGCGGAAGGCTCGCGTGTCTTCGGCCTTCGAGGATCAGAATGCCGCCACCCATCTGATGCGCCACGCCGTGGGGAACAACGAGTTCGGCACGGTGGACCACGAGAGGCTGTCAAAGATGCTGTCGCTGCCCGAGGAGCTAGCTCGCATGTACCGCGATGACATCACCATCATCATCACACAGTTCAATCCTCACGTGATTGGAGCACAGAGGCAGGAAGGACAGCCGTGAGCTCCTCGGGATCCAATCACAGCTTTTGTCTCCATGCGGTCCAGCTGGAGAGATGCACACCCAAACATCTGTCCAGCTGTTTTAAGACTATGTAAGAGAACTTGTATATTTATGAAGCGGCAAAAACAAAAAATCATTTTTGTGATTTTTTTTTTGTTTTTGTTTGTTTTTATGCATCATTCTAATTTATTTACGTTGCTGGGCTTGTTCAGCAGCTGTTTACACACACACCCATGTGTGTGTGTGTGTGTGTGTGTTACTGACATTTCTGCCTAAAAGGTGTGAAGGCTCGAGTCTGAGTGAAGGTGAGGATTAACCTGAAGTCAGACCGGCTCGTTACAGAAGCACTTTTTCACTTGTTTGCGTCTCAGACACACTTTCCAGTCTGAAGGGATTGTTTCCACCACTTCTGTTCCTGACTCCTCTTCTCGCTGTGCTTCGCTTCGATCCGTAATTATCTAATTAAATCCTCTAGGATGATGATTGGGATCCTGTGTGACACTAACTGAGAGCTTCTAGAAACATTTCTGAAACACAAAACACATCAGAGACGGGAACGGCGCGGAGCAGCGGTTGTTTTTCCAGCTCTGTGGCGGCTTCGTGTCGCTGACGAGTCACGAGGACTTCAACAACGGGATTCCTCTCTGGAGAGAGTTTTCAGAGCATCAAACTCCATCCCATCACAGCTCGTCGTCCGTATGGTGATCCGTTAGTTTTATCGTTTCTCAGCCGAGGGAAACCCGACCCTTTTCCTCCGGACGCTCGACGGCCGTTCATAAATCACAGGATTAGCCGTTAAAACCACCGAATATTTATTCCGCTTGAGCAATAACACCTTCACTGTGGGGAGGGGTGCGATTTGTATGATGAATAAAATGTTGAACGCAGCTCTCTGTGTGTGTGTGTGTGTGTGTGTGTGTGTGTGTGTGTGTGTGTGTGTGTGTGTGTGTGTGTGTGTGTGTGTGTGTGTGTGTGTGTGTGTGTGTGTGTGTGTCACGTGTCTACAGGTGAATCATAAAGGCAGCATTAGGATTTTTCTAATGCCCCTTCAGGCCAGTTGGGCCTGAAGGGGCGCCAGTTTTTATATGCAAATTTTCATGAAAGACAAGAAATTAATGCACTTGTAAAACGTACCGTTTCATGCTTATTTATAGTGGTGTGCAGCACCTGAGTTTATAAAAACATTCACTACAAAATAAGTTAAGGTTTTTGTGTTTAAAATTAATCCAATAAAATGAAAAAATCTTCTAAAAATGTGTGAAGTGAGCTTGTTAAACCCAAGAGGAGATGAATTTGATGTGATTCATGAACATATCAGGCTGTGTGACGTTAGAGCATCATTCGTCACGCAGGCGCAGCTTGTAGAAGGATTGGTGATGTTTATGCTCACGCATCTCTGGACGTGGAGCAAAAACCGTCCCCTCACCCAGGGCTGGACTGGGACAAAAACTGAGCCCGGGCATTTTGACTGGAGACCAGCCCATCACCTGTTTTTTGTGGAAAAGACATTAAGCCTTACGCTGTTTCTGACACACACCAACGTACACTTTCTTGTTGGTAATATTTATGTATCAATCTAATAAACGTAAACCTACACCGTCCGTCCTGTCCTGGTATTCTAAAAAGTACTTAGTAGAAAGGAAAAAAGACCACTTGGGCCTCACCCCAGCGAGACATTCTTTGGTGATTTTTGTTTTCTACGGCGGTTCGTGTCATGAGCTGGCGCTTTAGGAATGAACTGAACTGAGTGTGTTTTGTGATGTTCTCTAAAACTGAGGTGGTCATCCATCACGGTTACTCGTCTTTCCTCCTTCCTCCGGTACCTCTGCTCATCCTCGTGTGTGTTGTTGTGGAAAGTGTTGCTTGGACACACACCCTACAGACACAAACCACGAGGAGCCTCCGCGCTGAGGAGGTCGCCACGAGGCTCAGGCAAACGCCGGCTCTGTGTGGCCTCGGGAGGCTGCAGCAGGCTGGTCAGTGACTCATCTAAACGTGACAAGTTCATGGCTGTACATGTGCACCCCCCCCCCCCCCCCCCCCCCCCAACACACCAACTCTCACTGTGCTTTCCAGTGTGTCGAGGCGTCTTTGTGCAGCACAAAAGGCCACAATCATGCCACTTTCCTTCAGCACAAACGGCTCGCCTGCCGCCGTCAGAGGGATGAGTCAGAGCGTGACTCGCGCCGTGGCCTCCACGGATGCAACAACTGCTCTCTGAGCAAAAACTAACCAGAGAAATAAAAATATACCATAAAACGACACAAGCTAAAACCAAAGTGATTCTCAGGTTTGTTTTTTATTGAGAGCTTCACCAAAACAGGAGTTGCTGCTCATCGTGGTGAACATCAGCAGCAGGCATCAACAGGCTCTGAGATGGAAAACTGCTCGTCTGAGAATGTCATTTTAATAAATTAACAACAAGCCGTGTGGGTGCTTGACCGGTGAGATATTTTACACAACAGCCGTTAATTAAAATCAGCCGTTTAAGAAAATAAACTAAAGTGAAAGCTTCTGTTTGTGAGGTCTCACTGGATCTCTGGGGACTGGAGGGTGAAAAAAGGACTTTCTAAACATTTAATCTTACATATTAATGTATATAATTTAATGCCGTCGAGTCAAACCGCTCAGACGGAAAAAAGGCGCCATAAAAACGTCCAGACGGTAAAAACTGGAGCAGAGACACGTTTGAGGCTTAGATCCACACCGCCGTGCAACAGCGGCTCTGCGGCGTGTGAAACACGCAGAGAACTCTTTGCAACATTTCTGCATATAAATAAAAAAACGTTGTGTTTTTACATGATGGCGTTCCGCTCCTCTTCCTCGTTCAGACCTTTCTTCTTGCTCTTTTTAGATGAGCGTTTGATCGCGACAACGGCGACGATAACTGCAAAAATAATAACAAAACAATATTGAGTCGTGTGATTTAAGCCAGTGGCGCTCCTAAGGAGTGGCAGGGGAGGCCCATGGCCACTTCACTGCCCCCCCCCCCCAGCAAAGAGCACCCCCAAACCGTTCAATACAATAACTCACATCCATTTTCAGACTAACTTCTTTACTCAAAACACAAATGGTAAAGCCAATAAATAAAGGTCCATAGACTTTTTGTCGGACTTACTGCAGACTCCCAGAACGCCTGCCAGGATCCCGATGATGGTTCCGAGTCCAGGTTTGAATCCCTGTCCTTGTGGTGGGATGTAGCAGTGGCCCAGCTCCGTGCAGTTGCAGACTTTCACTAACGAACAGGATGAAGGAGAGAGACGCAAATAAACTCTTTACAAACTTTATAACACAACAACTAGAGTCCTAAGTCTAATCCCCGACATAACTCGACTCACCTTCAAATAACTGCGTTACTCCTAAGCCTGCACTGTCCAAAATGTCGATGTAGAGAGGGATAGTCGCTTCTTTGATTGGCTTCTTCTTCAGACGAACTTCAGCTGTTGTTCCTGCGAGACCCAAGAGGAGAGAACATAAATCAGAGCGTCTACTTCATCCTCGGCGTGTGTGAGACGCTCTGCGGCGGGATACCGTCGATGGCGCGCAGCTCCCAGTTAGGAGATTTCTTGACGAAGGCGAACGTAAAAGGCTGTGAGAAAGGGACGCTGTCCCCGTCCTGGGCCTTGATGACGATAGGTTTGATGTCCTGCATGCAGATGAAGGTCTGCGTCTCAATCAGCTTGGGGACGTTGTCGTTGACGTCCAGCAACCGCACGTGGACAACGCGCTCAGAGGACTTCTCTGGGTTGTCTTCAGAGAGGAGTCAACATTATTAACCACTGCACACATTTACTCCGGTTGCATATTAGAAGCGGATCTTCTCGTCTCACCCGTCTCGAAGGCGATGACGGTGAGTTCAAACGTCTCCAGCTTTTCTCTGTCCAGGTTCTCTTTGGTTCGGATCTCTCCGGTGGCCGCATCCAGCTCCAGCCAGCCCTGCGAGTCGCCGTCCATCTTAAAACTGCACAAAAACACACAATCATCACAACTCCACCATGACCAGCCTTTAGGTGCTCACGTGCTGACATTCCCAAAGCCTCTGAAGCCCTCCTGAGCCGCTGCCGCCTTCTCACCTGATCTCTTTCCCTTCGGGGTCCTTGGCCTCCACCTTGAACACAACTGATCCCTTCGTGATGTCTTCTGCTACGGTCACATCCAGGATGTCCAGGCTGAACTCGGGAGCCTCGTCCACATCAGTGACACACACGGACAGGACGGCGGTGGACTCGCCGCCGTACTCCAGGCCTTTCATCAGAGGCTCTGGGTTACGAGCGTCGATCTGGAGGTCGTAGGTGTGAGAGGACTCGAAGTCCAGAGGCTGTTCAAAGAGGGGAGACGTGTTTGAGACACTGATATTTTATTATTTATTTTATATCTAGTGAGGGAAAGCTGGAGCGTGAGATCAATAGGCGGATTGGTGCTGCATCTGCAGTGATGCGGGTGTTGTACCGATCTGTCGTGGTGAAGAGAGAGCTGAGTCAGACGGCGAAGCTCTCGATTTACCGGTGGATCTACGTTCCTACCCTCACCTATGGTCACGAGCTTTGGGTAGTGACCGAAAGAACGAGATCGCGGATACATGCGGCCAAAATGAGTTTTCTCCGAAGAGTGTCTGGGCTCTCCCTTAGAGATAGGCTGAGAAGCTCGGTCATCCGGGAGGGGCTCGGAGTAGACCCGCTGCTCCTCCACATCGAGAGGAGCCAGTTGAGGTGGCTCGGGCATCTGGTCAGGATGCCTCCTGGACGCCTCCCTGGTGAGGTTTTGTGGGCACGTCCAACCGGGAGGAGGCCTAAAGGAAGACCCAGGACACGGTGGAGGGACTATGTCTCTCACCTGGCCAGGGAACGCCTTGGGATTCCCCCGGAGGAGCTGGCCCAAGTGGCTGAGGAGAGGGAAGTCTGGGCCTCTCACCTTAAGCTTGGTTTATGCTTGACGCATTCACTTTCCGCGCGGTGATGCGGCTCGCGGATGGAACGCGCTTCACAACTCGCAGCGTTTATGGTTCATGCGGCTCGTCTCTGCGGTGAGCCAATATTCTCCCAAACTGTAGGGGGCAGCATGGAGCTCTACGGCATGCATCCAACACTACACCATAGTAGAAGTAGAAATTACTGTTTACAACATGGCATTCCAGCATTTTTAACAGCGTCCTCGTCTTTTCCGACAGTGCGAGCTATTTCTCTCCAAGAATTATTAACAACATGTTGATCACGGTGATCTCTGAGAGCTGAATCATACAAATGTCTGTATTTACGAACCTCTGCCATACTAGTTCTTGCCGGTCCGCCATGTTTTTCCGCGTCCGACCGTCCGCGTGGTTAGAAATTTTCCGAGGTGCGCGTTGCGGAAATTCTGGACCGTGCGGAGGCGCGATGGAGGGGCGTGGTTGTTAAAATGACGCAAAATGACGCAACTTTTCCGCGCGGAGCCGTGCGGACCTCGCGGACGCGTCAAACATAAACCACCCTTAAGGCTGCTGCTCCCGCGACCCGACTCCGGATTAGCGGATGAAAATGGATGGATGAATGGATGGAACAAAACTTTTGTACCTTTGCTACGACCAGATGACCAACGCCATTGCCGTCGGTTTCCACCTTAAACACGTCGCCATCGTTGCCTGCGGAGATGTGGAATTCGATCAACGAGCTGCCGCTGTCGGGGTCGTCAGCGTCCGTCGCTTTGAGGGTCAGAACCGTGGAACCCACAGGGGAGTCCTCTGTCAGAGTGTGGTTACCGTACTAACACACACACACACACACACACACACACACACACACACACACACACACACACACACACACACACACACACACACACACACACACACACACACACACACGAGTTAAAACATCATCCAAAAGTCTCCAACACCCACAGCGGTGTCTTTTACTCACGTTGTTCTTCTCAAACAGAGGCATCTCGTTGTTGACGTCGATCACCTTGACGACCACTTTACACACCGTGCTGAAACCTGTAAATCAGTCATTCTCAACGAGTTCTTGCTTGTGGTAAAAGAGATGTGCTCCCACCTCGTGTGTGTGTGCGTGCGTTACCCGAATCGCTAACTCTGACGCTGAACGTGTACACCTGCTGCTCTTTTCTTCTCAGGAAACGGAGGGACTGAATCCTCCCAGAAGCTTCGTCGATGACGAAGCTGCTGGAGGCGGTGGACGCTGTTTGAGGCTCGAAGGCGAACGTCAGCTGAGAATTCATAGTTCCTTCTTGATCATCATCACGGGCCAACAGCTGCCCCACCAGGCTGCCTGGAAACAAGAATGGATTCTTAAAGAGCAAGTCACCCCCAAATCACCTGTTTTTTTCCTGATGAAATATATAAATGTGTGTCTTAAGGTTGGTTTATGCTTGACGCGTCTAGGAGGTCCGCACGGCTCCGCGCGGAAAAGTTGCGTCATTTTAACAACCACGCCCCTCCACCGCGCCTCCGCACGGCCCAGAATTTCCGCACCGCGCACCTCGGAAAATTTCTAACCACGCGGACGGTCGGACGCGGAAAAACATGGCGGACCGGCAAGAACTAGTATGGCAGAGGTTGGTAAATACAGACATTTGTATGATTCAGCTCTCAGAGATCACCGTGATCAACATGTTGTTAATAATTCTTGGAGAGAAATAGCTCGCACTGTCGGAAAAGACGAGGACGCTGTTAAAAATGCTGGAATGCCGTGTTGTAAACAGTAATTTCTACTTCTACTATGGTGTAGTGTTGGATGCATGCCGTAGAGCTCCATGCTGCCCCCTACAGTTTGGGAGAATATTGGCTCACCGCAGAGACGAGCCGCACGAACCATAAACGCTGCGAGTTGTGAAGCGCGTTCCATCCGTGAGCCGCATCACCGCGCGGAAAGTGAACGCGTCAAGCATAAACCAAGCTTTAGTGCTGCAGACACGTGTCGTCAGTAGTTTTGCACTTTAGTGCATTT